TGCTTTTGTTCTAGTTACATCTTAATGTGTGGCTTACGGTAGAATTAGTTGTACAGCATCAATGAGGCAAACTTATATGGTTAATAACATGTCATACATATGTATATCAATCATAACTATATATAAAATGCGTATAGTTAAATATAATGTAATCCAGTTCATGAAAGATAGACATATTTCGTTGGCTATACAGCTAGTAGCATCAGTCATTTTCCGCTAACCTGTTTGTTGCACAGCCGGCCAGGTACGCCTAAGCGTATTTAACCATGTTGTATTTTATATAACAACTAACAAGATATTGTGTGCTGAAGAAGAAATACCGTTTTGAGTTCTGAAAGCTCAATTTGAATTTTTTCCAGGTTTTTGACCATTCGTTATATATCTCTTAATATTAAGAATAAGATAATGTTTCTTAGCTTTATCTTAATCATTTATTTAGCTGTTGTTGAATATGACACCAGCGTGCAAGCGCAGTAACAATTTTTTGACAGTTTTTATTTGTTTATTTTTTATTGACCGATAGCTAGCTAACTTTCCTGTCCCATAGAAATTTTTTCTCACATTTTTCACTCACTGGTCATACCGTATCTTGGCTAATTCTCGTTTATAGTCAGAGAATAGAATATTTTTCGGTGGTCATTCCGAAAAACAGCATAGAATACGGTTTAATAGTACACAGTGCAAAAAATAATATGGTTAGTCTGGTGACTGACTAGTATCGACGTTTCGACCAGTGTCTCACCGGCCTTCTTCAAGGTATGTGGGTGGTGGAGTTTCGTGAATTTCGTTTGTCGTCCTCCTTCTGGCTCCAGACCCATCAGTTTCTGCCTGCGTTATATTGTTTTGCGCTGTTTATAAGAAACCGTGTATTATGTTGTTTTTTCTAGACAGAAGAGGTTAAATTTATTTTAGTGCTTCAGAGTTTGTGTTTGATTTTTTCTTTCTTTACAACCTTGAAGTCTAGTCGTCAAGAATCGCAGTAGACGAAGTTACGGACGAGACAGATGGCAAATCGGAAGACGTGTTGATAGAAGAGATTGAAGCGAAAGAGGCTAAGGCTCGAGCTCATATTTTGGAGATGGTGAGGCTGAAACTTCCATAGGTTCTAAAACTGTTTGCGTTGCTGAAAATCGGCTATTTTTCAGGTGGGCGATTTGCACCACGCGGAAGAGAGGCCACCGGATAACGTCCTGTTTGTTTGCAAGCTTAATCCTGTAACAGCCGAGGACGATTTGGAGATTATCTTTAGTCGGTTTGGGACAATACTCTCGTAAGATCTGTTTATTTAATAGTTCGGCGAATCTTGTTTGTGTGTAAAATTATTTCGAAATCAAAATTGTGTTTATATGTTCAGAATGGGATGTCACACTCATAGATTGATGAGGTTTCGCTGAAGCAGGACCAGTTTCTCTAACCCACTTGAATACCATGAAAAACGGATGCCTCCCTATTGTTTAAAATTTCGGCCACCTTCGAACATGTTATAAAATTAATGACATGGAATGTTTGTCTTGTGATATAGAAGGCTTGAGAATGAAAGGAAAAGGTTGTAACCATTGCGATGTCGACCTCCTATATAATTCTATGATCTGTATCACCCATTCATGACGTTCATTATGTTGCACAGCGATATCATTAATTTGGAAGGGAACATCGGCAGCTAACTCTTACTATACGGTAAAGTCTCTTGCTTCCTTTCCACAACATGTTACTCATTCATCTTGAATGAATAATAGGATTCTGATCTGACCAGAATCTTTTGAATTTGAATCAGTCACTCCACGGATACAGCTGGCCGATCAGAGCTAGGACACCCGATGCTGTCGCATTCAGTCTGATCAAAAGTTCCCACCACGAGGAAAATTTTTTACTTCATGTTATTTCATTGTTCCATAATTTGTCTTGTTGATATCGAATCAAATTTGTCTGAAAGTGATCATTTGATTCCTGAAGAATTTCAGCTCCTTCGAAACATGTTCCTTTGCGTTTTACTTTCTGTAATGTTTTTTCAACACGTTGTCTGTGGTGCGAAATATAAAGTAGCCGCTTAGTTGCTAGCGAAGTCTCTGTGCTTCCAGACCCACCTCATTTTTAATCAAACGATTATGATGCTGATTAAAAATTTAGATGTGAAGTAATCCGTGATAAGAAGACCGGCAATTCTCTTCAGTACGCGTTTATCGAATTTGAAACGGTATACGGTTTTGGTATTTGATTTCTTTCCCATAGCATTCACATTTTTTATGCTAATAGCCACAGCAGTGCGAGAGCGCGTACTTTAAAATGGACAACGTGCTCATCGACGACCGCCGTATACACGTGGATTTCAGCCAGTCGGTCGCCAAAAATTTCCAATGGAAAAGACAAGGTACGCCTCAAATACAATCACGAGGACACTAAATATTCAGCGGTTTGAAGTTCTCGTGTGTTTCAGCATGATTATAGTCGACAGTGAAGAAAATAATACAGACATTACTAGAGATAGCATAAAGCCATAGGAACTAAAACTGTCATAATCGACCTCTTAAATCACTTTCACTTCATGTACTGAACGAAATCGCTCTACTTTGGGTATCAGAATGAACTAAAGCACTGCCTGCAATGCAAATGGCTGAATGAGTTTGATTTCGTCCATTTTCAGGTAGCTCCTATTTGGTGCTTTCTGCTTCTTTCCTTCGATATGATTCCATCTCTCTAGTTATAGTTATCTTCCGTTCAGATGGTTTGTTGCTTTTTTTGACTATTACTGTCCATAATGATCCTCGAAAAATGTACGGAACGCTTTAAATGAAGTGTAACTACTCATAAAGTCATTAAAAATAAGAGCCGGACGATTTTATGAACGACATCTAAAAAAGGATAGGCATGAAATTCATTCGTGACAGTCGGACTGTTTAAGATGGAAATGACTGAACCAAAATTTTCTTGTTGTATAAAGAATAAGGTCAGTTTTTTCCAAATATATGTACTTGCATAATTAGAAAATATCCATCTCATGATTAACACTGTCTACCTGATGTTTCGTATTCTGTTGAAAGTTCAGGCTCATCGTCTAGTACACTCCTCTACATCTCTGACATGTCACGCCTTTTTCGTTGCATCCTGTATGCGATCCAGATGGTGCATTTGGCTTTTTGGAAGGCATGCCATAATTTCAACTTCGGTGACTGTCATCCTCTGTGAAGAGAAATGCTGAAATGATGTGCAGCTTTAAACCATGCTTTGCATTTATATTCCGCAGCTCTTGATCAGCCGTACCTCATCCAAATTTTGGTATCTTCTACTTATTCATAATCTGAAATTTTCCATATGACGCTGTCTGGACGTTCTCTTTGTGTAATTCCTGTCATTTTCATCCTCTGTTCAGGTTATGATAATCGGCAGAGCGTCAGACTCGCAATCGAGAACTCGTGAGCTCAAATTCCGAACGTGTAGCTTTCCTTTTCAACCTGTCGAAATAGATCAGGGGTCTCCAAACCACGGACCATGGGCTACATCTGCCCGTCACAAGATTTTATCTGACCAGCTGCAACTTGAAAATGCATCCCAGCTACTATGCGCTCTAAACGTTTATATAAGGCTTATATAAAGCTCGGGGTCCTGGAAAGTCATGTCCTTGGCAACATCGAATCTGCTGTTGTTTTGGTTTTAAACGTAATGCAGGTATCCAGATTTTTTAACATGCTGGTGTCGAATCGGGCGTTCGCCCCTTTCCTCACTGTTCTTCGGGATATTGCCAGTTGGAAGCAGAGCTTTGCGACTAGCATGAACTAGTTCGAACCAGTGTCCTGTCCGGACATCGTGAAGGGCGCTTCAGCATTTCCTATTGGCCAACGAATTCCGGCTCATTTCTGAAGTGGTCGTCTGACGCTGCTACCGTCAGCTGATGAATTTGACGAGAGAGAAACAGCGTTCCGCCAACGAAGAGTTCGTGGGTGGAACAAGCCTGCTATTCTCACCTCCAGTCAAGACAATGACTTTCGTCAGCTTTTGCTGCCGTTTAACATTTAATCATTATGCAGTGGTACCTCGAGTCACGAACTTCATTCGTTCTTTGACTCCGTTCGCGAGTCGAAACAGTTTTTCCCATTGAAATTAATGTAATTTCAATTAAT